CACACCTGCGTGGCCAGCCCGCCTACGTCGTGCTCCTCGGCTCCATGCTTCCCGAGACACACTTGCGCGGCCAACCCACCTGCGTCGTGTTCCTCGGCTCCATGCTCCCCGAGACCACCTCCTCGGCCTCCTACCCGCCCGAGACATGCTCCTCGGCCTCATGTCGCCCGGGACGTGCTCGACCTCATGTCGCCTGAAACTACCGCGGTACTGGAGGCTGAAGCCATGCCTCGGACTCCCCCTTTTGCGACAACCGACACATAGCTTCTTTCGGGAGAGGGGGGAATATGATGAGGGTAATAATGGCGACATGACGCGCCACGACGTCAGCCACACTTGGACGACACTCTGCCCAAAGATGGCAATAATGCCGACGCGATGTGCGCTGACGTCACCCGCTCTCAGACAACGACGAAGTCGTTGTCTGACCCAACACGCTCGACCGAGGCAGAGGAGAACGACCACCGAGGAACGCCCATACCCTGCGGCAGTTCGGTTCTCCACGCAACGTCAATGGCGATGTCAGACGCCATCAGAGGTACGATCCTGCTCCCGCGGGCAGGCACATCAAGTAACACTAAACTGCCCTATAAATATCCCCGAGTTTTAAACGAGGGGGAGAGGGCACTTCTTCATACAAAAATCCCCCCCGCATCCACTAACTTGATCGTCGGAGGGGTCGGGCAGAGCTTCTGGCCCGACTTATGTGCAGGTACAAGAATGGGATCGCCTCTTCCCGGTGCTGCGGCAAAAGCTTTCCTCCCGACGTGACATCCCGACCGGACCGCCGTAATCGGCCACTAAGAAATCTCGAGGGACGCTGCGTGAGATCCCCGTCATTCGGACCCCCAACCAAGCCGCATCGACCTCGAGGCCACGGCATAAAGTTGTTTACACTAACAGTAAACTTCAAGAAATTACAAATCAAGAAATAAGTATGAATAAAAGACCAAGAGACGAAAGCTGTGAATTAATGTTATCGTAAACTTCAAAAAATTATAAATCAAGAAATAAGTATGAATAAGGGACGAAAGGCGTGAATTAATGTTATTGTAAACTTCAACAAATTACAGATCAAGAAATAAGTATGAATAAAAGACCAAGCAAAGATATAAAGTTAAATCTATTTATAGTAATTCTATTGATTTTCATTATTAATCTTTCTTTCGATGAATATCAATAACCTTTTACAATATTTTTTAAGGCTCATAAGAGAACCTTATAACTCCAGTTTGAATTCAACCCAATTTAATTCAATTAAAGCACAATTGCACCTCAAATTATCTTCAAAAAAGGTTTTAAATCAGCAACCACTTCTTCCAACAAGATATCCACTCTTTTGGTATATTGTTCGACATATCGTTTAATCCTTCAATACGTCGATCAATCCTTCTACCGGATATCTAATTTTTAATAAGACAATATTTGATTCTCTAGCTTAACATTGTCCTTTTGTGGTTTAAGTCCATAATTGAAGTATTTTATGTATTAAATTTATTAATTAATTTTATTATCAAAATTTGAGACTCAAGAATCTTTATCATCGCCTACTGTGCCATCGACAACAAGCCCATCACCTACACCCATTAGTCCAAGTGCACCATCGATCGATTGATGTCTCTCCCGTTATTGCTACAGTAGGCTATGATGTTTGTGATCGCCACCATGACTTGTATTGGCACTTGGCATAGGTAACCTTCTCTATCCACCTTGATAGTCCCAATGCAAGACCTACTTGTGGCCTCGATTACCACCACCCTAACTGGCTCCCCATCCCACTGATCAATCTCATGTCTTTTAACTCCCTCGAGAAAGAGGTCTACGAGCATTTATATATCATCGAGTCCATAATAACAACGAATAAGGGGTAGAGATGGTAGAGCAAGAGAGCAGAGGTGGGGGCAATGGGGTGGTGGCGGAGGTAACGAGAAGTGGGGGGCAAAGGCAACGATAACTATGAACGATACAAAGGCAAGGAGTAGTCTTATCTTTTAGGAAATAAGGAGTGCTTTGTGAAAATAAACAGGAAAAGAAACGCTAACCTAAAAAAGAAAAATAAAAATAAGAGATATTTTTAGAGTTTAATATTTAAAATTATTTTTACCATTGACAACCATTTACTATTTATAACCCCTTAATAATAATAATAATTTACTATTTATAACCCCATTAGTTTTGATTTTACCATTTTTTTTCTTCTTCTCATAATCCTTGGTGCTCCTTGTTGATCGTCGCTTCCAAGCTTGCACTCCTTGTTGTTAAAGCTCTCTTAGCCCACTTTCTCTACTGTCCATTATGCTCCCCTAGTCTTTACTTGCTTAATGTTATTTGACCCGGCACGTATTTATATTTATTTATAAAAAGAGTATTGAAATTGTTGGTGTAAATAACTTTGAGCCGTGGCCTCGGGGCCGACGCGGCTCGGTTCGGGTCCGGAAGATGGGGATCTCCCTGGGGCGCTCCACGAGCCCGCTGAGGAGGTCGGGGGCGGTGTCCGATCGAGACGGTGTAATCGTCTCTACCTGCAGGATCGACGGGGACCTTCGGCTTCGTACCTGCACAAAGGTCGGGTCGGGGTGCTCGACCCGACCCCTCTGACGATCAAGTTAGATGAAGATGTGGAGGGGGTTTCAGGATGAAGGAGTGTTTGTGTGTGTCTCGCTGCTCCCCCTCTCTCTGATGAACGAGAGGGTATTTATAGAGAAGCTTACTATTGTTTGATGTGCCCGCCTGTAGGAGGCAGGCTAGTAGCGTCTGACATGAGCGTTGGCGTGGCATGAAGAACCGAGCCTGAGTAGGCGTTAATGCACCTCAGCCGATGTTCCGGTTCGGTTGACCGAGTGCAATCGCACCGATCGAGGCGTGAGGCGTCGGCTGACGTCAGTCGAGTCTTATCATAATTACTATCCTCATCAGAAATATTAAAAAAATAAAATAAAATTATAAATAGTAAAGGGTTATAAATAGTATTTTTTTTAGAAATTTACTTTTTTATCCTTCTTTTATTCATATATTTCACAGCAATTATTATTGTAGTTTGTTATAAGCATCCATTATGTTATATGCTCGTTTATTGCTTCCGTGAGATTATAATTATATTACTGGGCCGAGAGCCCTGGTGCCCCTTCTTCTTCCCCAAGTAAACCCTCTCTGTCTTCTGATCCTTTTTTCTGCTCTTTGTTGTCGCAACAAAGCACGGTACCAAACAGATGGCCCGCTATGACCGCGCGATCACCGTCTTCTCCCCCGATGGCCACCTCTTCCAGGTGGAGTACGCCCTCGAGGCCGTCCGCAAGGGCAACGCTGCCGTCGGCGTTCGCGGCACCGACACCATCGTCCTCGGCGTCGAGAAGAAGTCCACCCCCAAGCTCCAGGACTCCCGGTACTCCGTCTTCCTTTTGGTATCCTCCACGTGATCCCCGATTTTGTTAGGGCTCCTGTGATCATTTCCTTCTTGATCTTTGTTTCAGATCGGTGCGCAAGATCGTGAGCCTGGACACGCACATCGCGTTGGCGTGCGCGGGCCTCAAGGCCGACGCCCGCGTCCTCATCAACCGCGCCCGCATCGAGTGCCAGAGCCACCGCCTAACCGTGGAGGACCCGGTCACGGTCGAGTACATCACCCGCTACATCGCCGGCCTGCAGCAGAAGTACACCCAGAGCGGCGGTGTCCGGCCCTTCGGCCTCTCCACGCTCATCGTCGGCTTCGACCCCTATAGCGGTGTGCCCGCGCTCTACCAGACCGACCCTTCGGGGACCTTCTCAGCCTGGAAGGCCAACGCCACCGGGAGGAACTCCAACTCGATGCGGGAGTTTCTGGAGAAGAATTACAAGGAGACTTCCGGGCAGGAGACAGTGAAATTAGCCATCAGAGCACTGCTTGAAGTAAATTCTTTCTCTTACTTTTTGGTTGATGATTTTGTTGTTTCCATAAATAACCCTGTTGGTTTTCTTTTGATTATTTCGAGACAACTGCTTTATATTGCTAAATTTGTCTTTGAGTAGTTATATTACGAAAAAATGACTTGAAAGGTTAAAGATGTCTAAGGTCTTGTTAATTAAGGTAGGCGATCTCTTGATCTTATCATTAGTTTGTTGAATTACACATTGTCACCATTTCTTCAAATTATTGAGTAATTTATTTTTCATTATTTCATATGTATGTAAATTTATGTCAAAAATTGTGATTGTTAAACATGACCTTGCTTATGTATGTCAGAATCTGACATTGGATAGTCAGTATTAGTGTTAAATCAAGTAGGTATTGAGCATAAAGTAACAAAGACTTTAAAATTTCGAAGATTATTGACTCCAATGCGTGCTTCTCCAACTGAAGGTGGAAAAGAAGCTTCCCACAAATTGTCAACTAAGTTTACTGCTAACTAATCTAACTTTACCTAGCATAAAAGCGAAGAAATGATAGTTCTTCAAGGATGAGTGTTTGAGGGCTTAGATCTGCAGGGCTACCAGTGCTGAGATCTTTTAATATAATTAGAATTCTAAACTAGTATGGAAGTCTTTAAATGTATAAACATACATTGCAAGTTAGTGCAAATCTTTTCCAGGAGTGAAAATAACCATTGTTGTAGTTGCCTGGTTTACTTGGAGTCTTTGCTCCCCCACAAAACTAAATAGGCCCCAAACAAGGGCTTCTCGTGTCGTCCACTTGGATTGTCCATATGGTGTCGACCCAGTCCATATAGATGGGCATATTCAAGCTCAGAAAAGTTGTATTTTGATTAGGAGTTTGTTTTAGAACCTGTTTCTTGATTCAGATTTGGTTCCATAACCTCCATTATCTCCCTATCTTTTTTGAATATCCCAAACTACTATACTAGCTTGTTTAGGACTTCCTAGGAGTACTGGTACTACTCTTATGGAGCAGATTGAATTCGTCATTACATAACTTGAAAGGTTTATGATTCCCATGTTTGATGAACATTTGGATCTAGTGGTGAGCAATCTAGTAAACTAGATTAATTTTTGTAGTGCTGTTTAATTGATACCAGAAATGCCAATTAGTTAACTACAACAAGAAATGCTTAGCTTTAGATGCCGAGACAAAAAAAAAAGTTATTGATTTTACATTTATTAACTTACGGAAGTTTTATCATTTAGGGAATGAAATGTTCTTAAGTACTTGTCAATTTCAAGTTAATAATCATCATATTGAAACCACTAGTTGGTTTTAATTTTATGCCTTAGACATGGAGTAAAAATGGCTCAAATTAATATGAGACTGAGTATGCCTTAGACATGGAGTAAAAATGACTCAAATTAATATGAGACTGCATATTCTGTGGAACGAGGTTGTTAACATTTTAAAGGTATACAAAGAGGTGAGAAGCAAACGCAAAACACTCCATGTCTATTTTAAGTCACTAATGTTTTTTAGTCCACTCAAACAACCAAAGGCTAAAGCTGATGCATGGTGGATTGGACAAGGTAGATAAACTACCTGTTGAGGTTCTGAGTTGTAATGATTGCTATTTAGACCAAGTAAGGAAAAATAGATTCTGTCTTTTCTTTTTGTATTTATGCTTAATCATGCTACTTCCAATCTGGACTTGATATTATTTAGGCCATAGAAATTGTTGCTACAACAACAACAACGAAGCCGAAAGCAACATAGAAATTATTGCTAGATTACTCTTAATTGCATCACATGTATGTGATTTCAAATAAGTGACTCCAGGTGTGTTTTGAAATATGACAAAGCCAACAAGTACAAGAAATATTAAATCTGCATATTGGAGGATTGCATCATGTCTCCTGTTTTTGGAATATGCAGTCAAATGCAGCAAGTCTTAGCGAAAGAATCTACGGATTATATCATGTGTAGTTCATACTTAAAAAGCAAGATAGTAGAATTTTCCTTGTGGTGAACTGCAGATCATTGTTCTATTATATTTTGTGTGGTCAACTAAGATAAAGCGACGAGGTTGGACAAAATCTGCATTTCATTGTAGGGAATAAAGCTTGTTTGTCAAGGACTTATTTCCAGGATGTAAAAATTACATAAGTGCAGGCTCTTCAGTTTTTGAAGTTAATTTATGTCTCAAAAGTTGCTTTTTACTGGTGAAACAATATAGAAGAGTCAAAGAACATTAATTCTCCCTAGAATTTACAATATATATATATATATATATATATATATAGTAGCAAAAACATATCATTTTGTAGGATTGTCTTATGATATTTTTTGGACTTAAGCAATATCACATGATTGACAGTGTTAAAGTTTGTTGTTATCATGAAAAAAAGGTAAATTTCTTTTACATCCTTTTATTGTTATTTTTATTATTTATTTAAGATTTAAATGCAACTTGCTATGTTGCCCTCATAACCTTTTTATACTTTTATTTATTATTCTTCTTTTCAGATGGACTCTTTTAATTGTCTTGAGAGTTCTTACGGAGTCCTAAATTTCTTCAGTATCCTTGTGCGGCAATTTTCTACTATATTTATCAAGATGTACTTTATTCGGTGTTTAAACTCCTGATGCCTTTGAACATTAGTTCCATTGCCATTTTTTATGCTTGTTTTCCTGCTTGGACGATGTGTCTTTCCTTTAGCAACTAGTTGCAACACCCTTATAAGCATCAGTTGGGTTGTTCTCCTATTGCCCAACAAACAATTGTTATGGAATTTCTCATGGAAACACCAAATAAAAAAGAAAATAAATGCAATTTTTTGTTTGAACTTGATGAGAATAATTGTAATTGCTTTGTTTAGGTTGTTGAGAGTGGAGGAAAGAACATAGAAATTGCTGTGATGACCAAGGAACATGGTCTTCGTCAACTCGAAGAAGCTGAGATCGATGCTATCGTTGCTGAAATAGAGGCAGAGAAAGCTGCAGCTGAGGCTGCCAAGAAGGCCCCTTCTAGAGATACTTAACTTTGGAAGTGCTTAACTTTTCCTTTTCAATTAATTGCTTTTCCTATTTTCCAAAGACTTTCAAACTTGTGGGCTTTATGCTGTATGTTACCGATGGAATTCTCCTTTCATTTTACATGGAATTCTCTTTTGTTTGTTGGTTGAAATTGTTAATGTCATGATGTCAGATTTTAATTATGTTGATGTTACCTATTTTGCTTTATTAGTGTTACTGGACGGGCAACAACATGATTCCGAGTTCTGGTAATATGAAATGCCAGTTTAATCCTGTCCATCATTGGAGATTATTTCTGTATCTAGAGATTATATTTACTCTCCCTACATCTCGTATTGGAGATTATCTTTATATTTAGAGTGGTAAGGTTGTGTATATTAACGCTTCCTAGATATGGTATTGGAGGAATTGTGTACACTGGTACAAGTGGTTGCTTATGTAGTTTTCTAACACAGGAGAACCTTATATATGATTTCATTCAATGCTTGTCCAAGAAGTATCTACCGATAAGAAACAGTTTGAAACTGGACAGAGATTAGAATGTTATAATAATAACAACAACAACAACAATAATAATAATAATTTGCACACCACGTTTATCTAAAACTAGTAGGTTTTACGGATCTACTACCAAAGTGGCTATAAAAGGACAAGAAAAAGAAAAGGAAAACTCAAGAACAGGCCAGCATGAACATCGAATGACCCAAAGAGGGCCTTTGCCGAAGCAACCCCAAATAAATGTAAGAAGATGAGGATGATATCGACCTTTCCTCGACGGTCAACAGCGGTTCAAAAGTCAACAACAAATCAAGGTGAAGCACTGGTCCATCGCTTTCCACGTGCCATTCTGAGGTAGCCCTTTGTCCAACGACGGCCGCGATGATTCCAACGGTTATAACACAGCCCAGATCCAACGGCTCACATCAAATGGCCGGTTGCCGCCCAAGAGCAGCTTTCTCGGGGCTTGCAGTTGCGTCTTGCAGCGGCTGTCGGCAAACCACGAGCGAACTCCGCCATCATAAAAGGACCCAAGTGATGTGAAACTATCCGTTGCACTGTGCTCTATATAACGCCTTGCGGACCACAGAGCGTCCCAAACGATCTTTACATGTAGTTGTAATCTTCTTCCTTGATTCCGGTTGTGAGAAGATAGATAAAAGTAGTTGATTCCTGTAGAGATCATCGGTGTGATGGAGAGTGTTCTCGTAGATCGATCTCCGGTAAGTCTCAGGAGGTTTGCGGCTACCAAGGGTGTTCTGGTTTCTGTCACCGATCTGCTTCCACTAAACGCCCCTCGTTCTTCTTTTCCTTGTGCTCCTCGTCCTCATCAATCGCCGCTACTCCCCCTCCCTCCGACGAATCCTGTGCCTCTCCCTTCTCCGAGCAAGAGACCGAGATCACATCAACAGAACAAGAGGAAGCCGAGATGCCAGTCTGTGACTCCCACCAAGGACCCAAAGGCGAAGGCCATTGCAGTTGCTTCACGGGATCCACTCCAAAGACTGGTTAAGGTAGAGGTAGATGAGAATGACAGCAGATGCACAGATTTCCTGCAATCGGTGTACTCGAAGTCGCCACCACCGAGCAGTCTTCCGCTGCCGAGTTTCCCTCTGACGAAGCCCAAGAGCGAAGGTTCGACTGAAGCAGGACTCGGAGAGGTGAAGGGAGGCATTTGTGGAGGTGGCGTCGATGCCGGCGCCACGGATGGTCTTCGGCGTCTTCTTGGTATATAAAGAATGTGTGGGGCGTCTTCTTGGTACATAGAGAATGTGTGGATTCGGTGTTTATGCGTTTGTATTGGTCATGAATAATTTAGAAGGCTATCATCCTATTTGAATGATGGAAGCTGCAAAATTTTGATGAAATTAAGCATTGATCAAAGACAACATGTTAATAGCCAAGAAGGATAAATAAAGAGAACCATTGACAGATATTATTATTGGATTTCCGAGGACCAAAACATACAGATTGCATGCACAAATATGAGATTAAAAGATTAGCAGAAAACGCATTATCAAGTATTACTCACTTAGATTAGATTTTGATGAGAACTATGACAGACAGATGAAGCAACAGTGGTTATGGTTAGACTATAATCTGGTGCTCTATTTTTTCTCATAATCTTTTAAGAGCAACCAAATACCCCTATCTTCATTATATAATTATTATACAGAGGGCACCAATTCTTGCAAAATATGGAAATATTTACTTTTCATTAACATTCATCTAAAATGAAATAGAACTTAAGAGCCAAAGCAGGACAGGGGCTCAAAACTACACAAAAATAAGTCCCAAACATGAGAAGACCACAGCTGAGATGGTGGTGGAACTTCCATTCTGCTTCACACTTACGCTCCGACTAACCTTATTATAACATCAAATTACTGGATCCAGGAAGCATAAGAAGAAGAAGAAGGAGAAGAGTGATTACAGCACACACTCAAGTACCAAAGGTATGCATAGAGGAGAAACTTCATAGTGGAGACTGGATGAAGAGAAACAACACAAAGTGACCATTCCAGCAGATGGATCAGAGGTTGGTGAAGAGAAGGTACTGCTGTTTGGATGGGAGATCCACCGTGTCATAACCCTGGGGAAACAGTACCTTGGCTTCCTCATTGGAAACGCTTGGTGAGATGACCACCGGCTCTCCGGGCTTCCAGTTCACCGGGGTGGCCACCTTGAAGTTTGCAGTCGTCTGCAGCGACTCCACCGCCCGCACCACTTCGTCCATGTTTCTCCCGGTGGCTGCAGGGTAAAGGAAGCTGAGCTTGATCGTCTTGTCCGGGCCGATCACATGGAGAGCCCGAGACGGGATCTCAACTCCATCGGCATCCTTCTGGTTTAGATCCACCATGTTGAGTTGCCTAATCATCTCTCTGTTATCATCCGCCACTATCGGGAATCTCACCTTGCATCCAGGCTTGAAGAGACGATGAAGAGAAAGAACATGAGACATGGCAGGCAAGTTCATGCCCAGCTCCGTCGTACATACCGGCGTGAAGTCAGCTGCAAACAAGAAGATCACATCATTTACTCTGTACTAACAATCCTATTTGCATATATGATGATCAATTTACAGTCAACCCAAGGTAGCAAAGTTATATCTGAGAATTATGAAGAAGTTCATATGATTCATGAGTGAAAGTCAAATGATTATGTCCAAGCTCATTGGACAAAAAAAATTCTTTTTGAATCAAAGAGGCTACAGATAGCTTGGTTGTCTTGATTTTACCTTAGATTTCGTAAAACTTGATTGTGAGTAAAGGAATTTCACAGGGAATTGAAAAGTTCAGTATTCTCTTAGAGAGTTTTGAAGGAGAGCTATCTGTAAGGATAATAATTGTTATCTAATAATCATCATCAATTAAAAAATTTAGTGTTTTAATGATAGTATGGTCGATCATCACGTTAGTGCTATACAAGTCGATATCTTAAACCTATATGGTCAACACGTTAATGCTATATGGGCCGACACCTTAATGCCATGCAAACAAACACCTCGCACCGTTAACTAATGCGCTGTTGGCACGAGGTTGATAGTTAGACTATAATGATAAGATCAAACAAATATATTATGCATTATTGCATCTAGGATTTGGTGCTATACGAATGCGATTGAATCTAAGATAAATACATTATTACATCCACCCCTCGTGATCGATGTCTATCATCATAATAATGGTCAATATAGATAACTATAAAAGGGTTTCCCAAGTATATTCTCCAAATATGTTTAAGCATTGCTCTTAAGCCTTATATATATCATTGAACTATACACTAACTTAGGCATCAAAGAGATATTTATCGAAACACTCTCAGTGATCTTACCGACACCTTCAAAGTCAAATGAATAATTCTTCATCCAAGATTGAACCGAGATAAACACAAAAGAAGACCTAGTTAACTCCAAATCAGTAATAGCTAAAATAATTTATTTAAGTTTATCAAACCTAAAATCATATAAATTTTAAATTGTATAAATTTTGAGTTCCCATGGTCTCTAATATGGGCCATTGGTGAGCCAAGCTATTGGGTTTTCATTGGACTAACTTATAATAACCATCCACTATTATGTTGTAGATTGACTTTGAAAATCTTACTATGAAAATGATGATGATTTATAATGTATATTTATATAGATTTAATAGAGAGATTTTTTTTTTCAATTATGTGCTCAAATTATTCACATATATCATGACGATTGATCGTTAAATCATAAATTGATTGAGAATTAAAATATATATAAAAAAAATAAAATTATCATTATATATTTATCTTTATCATAATCCTTTATTATACCTTTGTAAGGTTGAATTTTCGCTAAGAATGTCAATCTTGGAATGATGTGATTGAAATATCCTGTGAGCGAGAGGTTTTGTGAGGAGGCTCACTAGTTGGTTATAAGTACAGATATGAGAAACACATAATTATCTTTTGACAACTTAATTTTTGATAAAGTGAAAATCGATAATAATGTATTTCATACGAGAGTGAAACATCAAGTTAAAGTATAGGTGAGTGACACCGATATTATCATAGTATGTTATTGAAGTGGATTCAAAAGTGATGCCAAGTTCATATACTAAATTGGTAATCAAATTAAGTTTTATAGTTATGGTAGTGATGACTCGATATTCAACTTCAGTGGTGGATTTTATGATTGTGTTCTATTTCTTGAAACTTTAACTAATTATGTATGATCAAAAGAAGATAATATAAGTTGATATAGATATTCTATCATCAGTATTTCCTACCTTATCGGTATCCATGAAATTATAAAGATTGAGGAATGAGTGTTTATGAAGAAGTTTGTGATTGAGAGCTCCTTTAAAATATCATTAAATATGTTTTAATACTGACCAATGAGTATTGGAAGGCTAGTGTATAAATTATGATAATTTATTAACTATAAATAAAATACTTGAACGTATAAAAAATAAATAGTATAAAGAACCAAGTACTTGTTGGTACTGTATGTGATCCGTAATAAGACTATTATCATATAAGTAACTCGGTAGAGGAGAGTAGAGTGATAACTTCTTTAGCATTATACATATTCATCATTGATAATAGATTTTGAATGTTCTTCTTTTAAATTGAAAAAATTCAAAAGATACGAAAGTTACTTCCACTCCTAAAAAATAGCTTAAGGTTGGTAGGCCTATAACGGAGAATCGAT